ATGGACAGAGATATCTTGGATATGGTGCAGCTGGAGTGCTCTTTGGAGTTGAGAATGATGAGGCTTTGCCTCACATACTTAGGACATGTTGCTAGGAAGTACTAATCCTTTGAGAAGGACATGATATTGGAAAAGATGAAGGGTCAATGAGGGAGAGGAAGACCCTCAACTAGGTGAATTGATACAATAACTGCTGCAATGGGCTGTTGTGTGTGTCAAGTGTGAGGATGGCACAGAATAGAACAGAGTTCAGATCTTTTGTTCCTAGGATTGCTATGAGTTGTACTTGACGTGATGGCACCTAACAACAACCTGTTTTGTAATTGGATTGTCTCTTTTTGGAGAAGTGTTTTTATGCATATGTTGTTGTTATGTGCAGTTGGGTCACCTACAACTCATAGTGACTCTATGTACAACCGCCCTAAATCCTGCTCTATCCTGTGCCAATCTTATTGTCTCTGACACAGCTACCCCCACTACCCCAGTCACTGAATCAATCCATCTAATCGAGGGTCTTCCTCTCTTGCGCTATCCCACCACCCTCCCAAGCATGACGTCCCTCTCCAAGGACTGGTCCTGCCTTGCATCATGCCCAAAGTATGTCAAACAAAGCTTCAGAATCCTTGCCTTCAAGGAGCAGTCTGCCTTCACTCTCTCTAGAAGGAACCTGTTTGTTCTCCTAGTAGTCCATGGAATAGTCAATACACTTCACTACAACAGCTCAAAGGTGTCAAGTCTCCTTCTATCATCCCTAGTTGTAGTCCACCTCTCTGATGCATAGCAAGTGATTTCAAAGACTATGGCCTGGAACAGGTGCACCTTAGTCTCCAGACTGACATCATTACTCTTCAGTACTTTGGGGAGGTCTCTGACAGCAGACTTTCCCAATGTAGTATGTCTTTTAATTGCCTGGCTGCTGGTATTAAGAGTGTTGATTATGGAGCCAAGCAAACTAAAGCTGTTAACAGTCTCAGTCTCTTAACATCTATCATGTTGCTGCCAGCCGGCCCAGTGGTAAGAATATTTGTTTTCTTGATGTTGAGCTTCAATCCATCTTGAAGGCTGCAGTTCTTGACCTTTTTTTTTTTAAATTTTTTTATTATTCTTTGTGTGTACCGTCAAATTGGATCTGACTGGTACAGGAGGAGATTGCCCCTCCTTCTCCAGCAGAACATCTGGTGGATTTGAACTGCACACCTCTGGGATTGCAGTGCAGTTTCTTGCCACTAGGCCACCAGAGCTCCTTTCTTGACCTTTTTTTTTTAAAAAAAACATTTATTAATGATTTTTTTAATGCAACATATATGTATTTTTTACAGCATATCCTTTCATTTAATTCCCCCTCATTCATTCATTGTTGCACATTTTCCTTCCTGACCTCCCCTCCCCACAGTCCTTGACCTTCTTCTTCAGCAAGCACTTTAGGTCCTCCTCAGTTTCAGCAAGCAGGGTTGTGTCATCTGCATAACACAGCTTGTTGATGAGTCCACCTCCAATCCTGATGCCACATTTCTCCTGATAGAGCCCAGCCTCCTGGATAATCTGTTCTGCATACAGATTGAAAAGGTATGGAGTTAGAACACAGTCAATGAAACACAGACATTCCTCTGGTACTCTCTGTTTTCAGCCAAGATCCATTTAACATTAGCTGTAATATCCCTAGTACCATGGCCTCTTCTAAACCCAGCCTGCATTTTTGGCAGTTCTCTGTTAATGTGCTGTTCCAGTTGTTTTTTGATAATCTTCACCAGAATCTTGCTTGCATGTAATATTGTTTGATAGTTTCTGCACACTGTTGGGCCACCTTTCTTTGGAATGGAAACAAAAATAAAAATCTCTTCCAGTCAGTTGGCCAGGTGATTGTCCAGACTTCTTGGCACAAATTGGTGAGCATATCCAGGGAAACATTTGTTTGTTGAAATATATCAGTTGGTATGGCAGCAATTCTTGGGACTTTGTTTTTTTGCCAATTCTTTCAGAGCAACTTGAACTTCTCCATCACCACAGGCTCTTACTCATACGTTGTTTCATGAAATTCTTGTATGTCCATCAATTCCTTTTGGTACAGTGGTTCTGTATACTCTTTCCCTCTTCTTTTAATGCTTCCTGGATCATTTAACATTCTGCCCAAAGCATCCTTAAGTGTTACAACCTGAGGCTTGAATTTGTTCTTCAGTTCTTTCAGCTTAAGAAATGCTTAGTGAGTTTCTGACTCCAGCTCTTTGCACATTTCATTGTAATTCTTTACTTTGTCTTCCTGTGCTGCCCTTTGGAATCTTCTTTTCAACCCCTTAATATCTTGATTTCTTCTCTTTGCTTCGGCTTTTTGGCGCTCTAGTGCAATATTCATAGTTTCTTCTGACATCCATTTTGGTCTTTTCTTCCTCCTCTGCCTTTGCAATGAACTTTTGCATTCTTCCTGGATGATATTCTTGATAAACACACCTTTCCAGGTTCATTATAGCTATAGTTTACAGCTTTTGTTGGTTTTGCTCTTTAGCCTGAAGACTAATTTAGATACCATACAACTTTCAGTTCAGAAGTCAGTTCTGAAGCCCGATTCTCTCTTTACATTCAGCATTTGCACTATTCTTTAAAGTGCTGGATGAACCTCAGAGCCCTCGTTCTGATCACAGACTTTGCATTGGCTCTTCTGTGTTGCTTTTACTGAGGCTCTAAAGCATTACTAACCTGTGCTTCACCAACATTTAGTTCCCCGGCCTCTCCTGATAATTTATGATGTACATTCACTCCCCAGGAGGAAAGGCAATGTAATCAGTTGGTTACATTGAATGTACTTGCCTTATGATGAAGCCAGAAGTCTTATCATCTCAATTTTCCAGATGAAGAAGCTAAAGCACAGACTGTAGCATGCTTGATTTCCTATTTCACCACAGGTGCTCCATCTTTGATCCAGTTCTCTATATTTTTATGTTTGTATTTTCTTTCACTTTAGCATCTCCAGGTGAGATACTGATTTGTTGATATACTTGCTATTAAAAACAATTTTATTCATTTCCATTAATAGTGTATGCTCAGAAGTGCAACAGTGAATGACTAGAAACCCTAAGTCTCTGCAAACTTTTACTAAAATTAATTAAAGTAAAAAAATAGTGTATGCTTTGTGCTCTTCTCCTTAGAAGTCTAATAAGCAGTTTAAGTATGTCTTGACTCAGAGAAATGTCAGATTTATGTAGTAAGAACAAGACATAAGCAGGGCCAAGACCATACATGTCATGCAATTTATAGGCTAATAAATCTTAAAGAAGTAACTAGCTTCTGGCAGTGCTGAAGTTGAGAAACCTCACTATAAATGGATAAGATTAAAGTAAAAGTAGAATCAGAAATTAGAGGTTGGATGACTATATCACCAGTTAATAGCAGACCATATAGACCAAAGCTCATTCCCCCTGGTTTAATGTTTTCCTGCTACCGTGAAGTCATTTAGAGACAGAAGGTATCTTATATAAGCTATTAAAGCTAACTGCCACTACTCCGGATTCATACTTTTTGTGCTAAGGATACTCAGTTGCTTGTAGAATATGTAACTTTATTTCTTTGTATTCTTGTTAGTTCCTTTGCCTGGATCATCCTTTTCCCATTTCTTTATCTTCATCGCAGTTCCAAATATATTGTACATCCCCAGGAAGCCTTCCCTAACATATAAGCCCAGATTACGTTAAAAAACATTTCTGTGTTCTGCTGTAGCTAGTCTTTTGTTGTTGTATTATTGTACCATCAAGTTAGAACTGACTATTGCTGACCCTCAAGCAGATTTTCAGAGACAATAAATAGCACGAGAAGAGATGGCCGATTTTTCTCCTGAAGAGCAGCTGATAGATTCAAACTGCCTGATTTTTGGGTTCACAGCTTAGCCACTAGAACTCCCATTGTTGTTGTTATGTGCCGTCGTGTCGCTTGCAACTCATAGCAACCCTATGCACAACAGCCCTAAACTCTGCCCTGTCTTGTGCCAATCACACTGTCTCTGACACTCCCATTCTGATAACCCCAGTCACCGAATCAATCCACCTCATAGAGGGCCTGCGCTGTCCCTCCACCCTCCCCAGCATGATGTCCTTCTCCAAGGACCGGTCTCTTCTTACAACATGTCCAAAGTATGTTAGACGGAGCCTCAGAATCCTTGCCTCCACGGAGCCACCCGGTTTAACCCTTTCCAGGATGAATCTGTTTTTCTAGCAGTCCATGGTATTCTTAATACTCTTCTCCAGCACTACAGCTCAAAGGCATCAATTCTCCTTCTGTCCTCCTTGGTCATTGTCCAACTCTCTGATGCACAACAAGTGATTGCAAAGACCATGGCCTGTATCAGACGCACCTTAGTCTCCAGAGAGACACCATTGCTCTTCAGTACTTTGGAGAGGTCCTTAACAGCAGACTTTCCCATGGCAATGCACCTTTTAATTTCCTGGCTACTGGTGCCAAGAGTTTTGACTATGGAGCCAAGCAAACTAAAGCTGTGAACAATCTCAATCTCTTCACCATCCATCCTGATGCTTCCAGTTGGCCCAGTGGTGAGAATCTTTGTCTTCTTGACATTGAGCCTCAATCCATATTGGAGGCTACAGTCCTTGACCTTCTGCAGCAGGTGCCTCAGGTCCTCCTCCGTTTCAGCAAGCAGGGTTGTGTCATCGGCATAATGCAGATTGTAACTCCCATTGGCATACAATAAATATATCTAAATATCTGTTTTTCTCACTAGGCTGTGGACTTCCTGGGGGTTAGAATTCTTTTCACTCTCCTCTTCTCATTGCCTTGCAAGTGCTACAGTGTACTTTCAGTCATAAGCATAGACAATAGGTTAGAAAAGGGAGAGGCCAGTGTGAAATCCAGTGTTGAAGATGTCTTCAGAGACATCAGTGAGCTTTGGAATTTCCCATTATTCCATGAAGATATTAATGATATGCACCTTAAGTTGTTGAGTAGGGACAGTTCTAAGATAGTAATGGATTTTTTTTTTTGATGGTGTCTTTCTACAGGTTGATATGTCAGACCTGTCCCCAGAAGAGCAATGGAGGTAAGTGTGACAGTGGGAACCCCTCAGTCTGGGAATTGCAGCATAGATCAGGTAATTAAATTGTGTACCTCTCCTTTTTTTTAACTTCTTTGTCTGTAGGAGGGAGTGGCTTATGACTTGCAGGACAGGTCTTTAGGGAATTTTCCCATGGGTCACTTTGGGTAACTCCTTCAGTCCTAGGAAGTAAATAGGTAACCCATACCTTACCATTTTTCTTACCATTTTTATAATTTTTAACACCAGTTTTATTGTTTACTAGTTGTGTGATCTTAGGCAAGTTACTTACTTTCTCACTGCCTTAGTTTCCCCCCCATAGTAAAATCAGGAACATAACAGTACCTACCTTAAGAGTTTTGAGGATTAATATACATGATGCTCTTAAGATAGTAAGTAGCATGTGGTACACCTCTAGTAAGTGTTATATCTGTTTTAAATGCTTATCATCATTGACATCAAGATTATTGCCAGTGATAAACTTGGTTTGCATTCACAGAGAACAATAACCATTGTCTCAAGTGACGGTTTCTCAACAGTAAAGGGATTTCAGAGTACCTCCCCGTCCACTTCACAAGGAGACTACCAAAGAGCTGAAATTAACTAAGTAAAATTTAATAGTGAGAAAGAAACCTTTTACTTAGATTTAAACTATTAATTACACAGGTAGATGGTAAAGATGACAAATCATCACATGACAAACTCAACGTGATTTGGGGTAGATTTAAACTGACAACTATCTTCAAGGCCAGTAAGCACCAGTTGTGTGCCTCAGTTACTAAAATAGTGCAAACTAGTTAGAAGATGACTGTAGAGATACTAACCAGCTTCAAGAAGGTGACATTGCCACTCTGTTCTTCTTCACTGAATCCACATTAATTTTGTCCAAAGCACTGAATATCAAGAAGATCTTAAATTAACTGAATCATGTCTAAAAGAAACCAACCAGAATAAATGGTCTTCATATCTTGCTTTATGAAAAAGAACTGTTAGTCTAAAAGGGTTTGGAAAAGTCATGGTAGGAATAGGATTGTTTTGTTTTATTTTAAAAGAGAATCCAGATAAATCTTTGAAGGGATAGCATTGATAAAAAAGAATAGAGATGTTATTTCTTCCAGAATTAGGTTTGGTGGGTTATAGCTACAGCATTATGTGCCATCGAGTCGGAACTGACTCATAGCTGATCCTCCAGTGGGTTTTCACAGGCTGTAAACACATGGTGGAGGATCAGGTGAAAGAAAGACTCTCAACAAGATGGATTAACACAGTAACTCACAATGGGCTTAAGTATATCAGATAGTGAGAATGGCACAGGATAGGGCGTGGCAGGGTACAGATCTGTTGTTTATAGGATTGCTGTGCATTGTGGTCAACTCAAAGGCACCTAACAACAACGTTGCACAGGGGGAGACTGCCCATCTTTCTTCCACTGATTATCGGGTGGATTCAAACTGTGCTTTCAGGTTGACATCACAACTCCTTACCACTAGGTAACCAAACATCTTTTGATAATGAAGGTATCTTAAAGTAATGAGTTTCTTGTCCCTTAAAGCTTTGAGATTTTATTAATTTACATGCAATTATGAATCCCTAAAAAATTCAGACACTGCTGGTTCTAGAATACTAGAATATATTACCTCAATCTTCATATGTTTTCAATCAGTATTTCAGCAAAAGCCTACAAAAATAGTTTTTGCATTGGTGGGATCTTGGACTGGGTAACTTCTTTGGTTTTTTCTAAATTCTTACTTTGATTTCATTTTGTACACACCCAGTCAGTTTTACACTGTCTGACAATAAGAAACTTGTTTCTTGATGTCTTAATAACTTCCCGTGGTCCTTAGGTTTTTAAAGTATTCTCCACTCTTTTGGCATAGAGTAGCCTAACAATAGCCCCATGAGGGAAGCAGAGCAGATATGAATTCCTTTTGACAGATGAAGAAATTGTGATGTAGAGATGTGAAGTTTCTCAGCCAAGGCCACAAAGGTGGGTCTGGACCTAAGTTTCTGACTCGCAGTCCTGTTCTCTTTCTGCCAGACTCTGTATGGAATTCTATACAAGATGAATTCTTAGATACTCTAACTGACTGGCTGGCTGGCTGTAATGTCACCAGAGTGACTTATTGCTGACCACTCTGTCCACTAAGCCCTATCTCCACGATATTTTATCTTGGAAAAAGTTCAATCATGTAAAAAAGCCAGAAGAATTATACAGTAAATACTCTTTAACATCTACCACTTAGAGTCTACAATTAAATTTTTACTATTTTGCTTTATTATGTACCTATCAAAGATTGTACTGGGTTCTTTTTACTCTTAGTCTCCACTGCCCTTGGGAATCCTGTAAGGCCATATTCACCTCACTCTATCTCCCCAGTACTCCCTTGCATAGGGAGTTTGTTTTAAAGCTCCTGCCCACAGGTTACCTTTGTGTTTGGTTTTTTCTTTAAATCCTTCTTCATTTTCCTCCTGTGGCTGATTCTGATTCAAAGTGGTGGGAGTGACTCTTCTGCTCTGTTCTCAGAGAAAGCTTTTTGTCACTTATGACAGAGGGATTCACCTACTGCCAATCCTCAAGACCAAAAATACTGACCTTATATAAATTCCATCTGTACTCTCTAATTACTGAGTTTCATTGGCTCTTGTTTACCTGTGGAGATTGGTAATGAAGTTATTATTGGGTTAATATAAAGTTCAAGTTGTCCAGCTTCTTTAGGCTTAATGATCCTTGGCCATACAGGGAGGGTTTGACGAATGAGACAAAACTGTAACCTTAGACTCAGCACACACTTGCAAAGCTCCTATTCCTAGTTTATTGGTGTCATAAATATTTATGGAACTTAATGATTCTAGCATCTTTGGATTACTTTCTCATTCCAGTGACAGACTGAAATGGGCTGGAAATGGGCAGTGACACTAGCATCTTCTGGGACCACCTTCCTGCTACAGGAAAGATGTCAGTTGTTTGTGCCATGGGGATAATAGCAGAAAATAGCAGACCCACTACCTCTAGTCTCAATACCTGAACTTGGGGCATGGGTCCCAAATTTATGTTATTTTGAAGAGTATGTGTCTTCTAGTACCTAGTCTGTATGATATCAGCAACTGCCAAACAGTGGAGTGTTTCTCTGTTCTGGTGGGATATCCCTGGAAAGCACTGCCCCTTTACTGCCACACTGTCTCTGACATGCCTCACCCCATCTGTTTGGCTTTCAGGGTCGAGCATGCACGCATGCACGCCAAGCACCGTGGCCACGAAGCCATGCACGCCGAAATGGTTCTCATCCTCATTGCCACCTTGGTGGTGGCCCAGCTACTCCTCGTGCAGTGGAAGCAGAGGCATCCCCGTTCCTACAATGTAAGACACTTTCTTCTCACTTCTTTGCTAGTCAGTCATCAGGTGATCTTTCCTAAGTATTTTAGAGCCCAGCCTAACCTAGAACACATGTGGACATGGACTAGACAATAATGAACTTTATGTGTGTGAATGTGAATAGTATATGTTCTGAGTGTTTAATGTACAAGTTATGAACACGTTCTGGTGACTCAATGGTAAGGAATTGTGCTACCAACACAATGATCCTCAATTCAAATCCCAGCTTCTCCACAAGAGAAAGACGAGCAGACTCCTCCCATGTGATTTAGCTGAAAACCCACAGGAGGGTCAGCTGTGGGTCAATTCTGACTCAACAGTATATGACAGCAACAATGTACAAATAATTTCAGGGATAAAACAGGGATAGAACATGTGATTGTTTTCATGACAAGAAAAAGTAGATCCTCCCTTTTAAATATTGTAGGCCTGATTCAGCCATTTAGATGAAAGGAGTTCTATTGGGACAGTGATTAAGTGCTCATCTGTTAACTGAAAGGTCAGCAGTTTGAATCCACCAGCCACACTTTGGGAGAAAGATTTGATAATCCACTTATAAAGATTTACAGCCTTGGTAACCACTAATAAATGTTGGTCCCTGTATACTTTCCTTTGTATGAGTGAGGTCATGTAATACTTATTCCTTTGTGGTTGACTTATTTTACTCAACAAAATCTTCTTAAGCTCCATCTATACTGTAGGATGTATCTAGACTTTATTACTCCTGTCTCGTACATTGTATGTATGTACCACATTTTGTTTATCCATTCATCTGTGGGTTTTGTTTTTTTTTTAAATCTGTGTTTTTTTAAAAAAAAGTTTTTATTTCCCTTGATGTGCACTGTTGAATCAGATCTGACTGGCAAAGGAGGAGATTTCCCCTCCTTCTCCAGCAGAGCATCTGGTGTATTTGAACCGTGTACCTTAGGGTCCGTTCATCTGTTGATGAGAATCTTGGTTATTTCTACCATTTGGCTATTGTAAATGATATGACAGTTAATAATTTTTTTTTTAAATGTACAAGTCTCTTTTAGAGTTTCTACTTTCAAGTCTACTGGGCCTATACCTAAGAGTAGAATTGCTAGGTCATATGGCAATTCTATGTAATTCTGTTTTTAGTTTTTTTTAGAAACTGCTATGCTGTTTTCCACAAACAACTATACTATTATGTATTTCTACCAGTGGGTGAGGGTTGCAGTTTTCTTACATCCTTGTCAACATTTGCTATTTTCTCTTTTTTTTGAAATGATTGAGTCTTCACAGTCTTGGTGGGAGTGGAATCATACCTCATTATGGTTTGATTTGCATCTCTGATGACCAGTGACCTTGAGCATTTTTGCCTATTTTAGCTATTTGAATGTTCTCCGTGGTAAATGTCTGTTCACAGCCTTTGCATATTTTATGATTGGTTTGTCTTTTTTTGTTAAGTTACCAAAGTTTCATAAATATTTTCATTATTAGATTACTGTTGGTTATATGGTTTCTGAAGATACTGATTTTTGTGAGGTTCCATTTATTTTGGTTTTTTGCATTAGGACTTTTGTTATTATATTAGGTAATCTATTGTTGAAAGCTAAGCTTAATAGGGTTCCTGTGGCATCTTCTTGTTCTTGTAAGTTACAGTTAGAAGATTTTCCTTTATTAACAATCTTTCTTTTTACATGTAGTTTTGAGTTGCTTCACTTGTGTCTTTTCCCTTTCATCTATAGAGCTGTTGTTATTTTTGGTGGGATAAGTCTTGTGGATATGAATTTTCTTAGCTTCTCTCTGGGCATGTTTTAGTTTCATCCTCATTTTTTTTTAAATTTTTTAAATTTTATTTTATTATTTTTTCTGTGTGTGTACCACAAATTGGATCTGACTGGTACAGGAGGAGATGGCCCCTCCTTCCCCGGCAGAGCATCTGGTGGATTCGAACCACATATCTCTGGGATTGCAGTTCAGCTTCTTACCACTAGGCCACCAGAGCTCCCGTCATCCTCATTCTTAAGAATAGGTTCTTCTGGGCATAGGATACTTTGTTGACAGTTTGTTCTTTCAGCACTTTGAGAATGATCATTTCATTGCTTCCTGAGGAAATAGTAGTGAAAAAGTTCTTCTGAGGATCCTTTTTATGTAACTTTTTTTCTCTCACTGCTTTCAGAATTATCTATTTTTAACTTTTGAGAGGCTGACTAAGATGTGTCTTGGTTAGGATCTTTGTGAGTTTATTCTGCATAGGATTCTTTGAGCTTCTCTGATTTGTAGATCCATGTCCTTCACTAGACTGGGGAAGATTTTATCATTATTTCTTTGAATATTTTCTCTGTCCCCCTCTCTCATCTCCTTCTGGAATTCCTATAACACATATATTAGGTGTCTTATTTTTCCATAATTCCATTAAACTGTGCTCAACTCTCTTGAGCCCCCATTCTCATTGTTTGTCAGCATTTGTAATTTTAACAATCTTGTCCTCCAATTTGCTGGTTCTCTCAGCTGTTTGATTAAATCTTGTGGTACGTCCTTATAGTGTTTTCCCTCATTTCAGTTATTGTTAAGGATGAGTTTTCAGAATAAAAATTTGAGTTAAATATTATGAAAAATATTCAACAGTGAAAACTTTTCTATATAGAATTGTCTTAGAAGGAATGATCTTTTCACAGACTATTGTGTGCCCTTGAATCCACTGTGACTCATTGTGATTCTGTGAACTATGAACCTTGCCCCTATCCTGTGTCATCCTCCCCATCTCTGACACCTGTGAACCCATTTTTTTTACAGTCACAGTGTCAGTCCATCTTGATCTTGTTGCAGGCCTTCCTTTCTTGCACTGACCCTTCACTTTTCCAAGCATGATGCCCTCTCCCAAGGACTGGCCCTTCCCAACAGTATGCTCCATGAATGTGAGATGAAGTCACCGTCTTTAACTTTAATGAGCTCCCTGGTTTCACTTTCTCCAAGACAGACTTGCAGCAGTATTCTTTTGGCAGTATATTATTGTTATGAGGTGCCATCAAGATAGCTACAACAGCTCACTCAGTCCAGGTTTGGAGATGCGCCCTTCGACTTTTCATGGAAGAGATGTCAGGAGAAAGTGTGGTGAGCTCAGCGGTGCCTGCGGCTGTAACTCGCACCACTTTGTTCAAGGGCACAAGCCCCAGCTCCAAGTACGTGAAGCTGAATGTAGGAGGGGCCCTCTACTACACCACCATGCAGACGCTGACCAAGCAGGACACCATGCTGAAGGCCATGTTCAGCGGGTACTTGGAGGTGCTCACCGACAGTGAAGGCTGGATTCTCATTGATCGATGTGGGAAGCACTTTGGTACAATACTCAACTACCTTTGTGACGGGGCCGTCCCTCTACCCGAGAGCCACCGGGAGATTGAGGAGCTGCTGGCAGAAGCCAAATACTACCTGGTCTAGGGCCTGGTGGAAGAGTGCCAGGCAGCCCTCCAAAACAACGACACCTATGAGCCTTTCTGCAAAGTTCCTGTCATCACCTCATCAAAGGAAGAACAAAAGCTTATGGCAACTTCAAATAAGCCTGCTGTGAAATTGCTCTACAACAGAAGTAACAATAAATACTCATATACCAGTAATTCTGATGACAACATGCTGAAAAATATTGAACTGTTTGATAAGCTGTCTCTGCGCTTTAATGGGAGGGTCCTATTCATAAAGGACATCCTTGGGGACGAGATCTGCTGCTGGTCCTTTTATGGCCAGGGCCGCAAGATTGCCGAAGTCTGTTGCACCTCCATCGTCTAGGCCACTGAGAAGAAGCAGACCAAGGTTGAGTTCCCTGAGGCCCGGATTTAAGAGGAGACGCTGAGCTCACCACACTTTCTCCTGACATCTCTTCCAGCAGAAAACCTGCAATACAACTTTGAAACAATCATGACCGAACCCAAAACCCATGTACGTACTGGGTAAATGTGCTTTCTAAACTGTTGGGTGCGAATTTTTTTCTACAACGCCGTTTGGGTTTCTTACATGTTAAAGAAAGGGACTTATTTTATACTGTTCCTTTTCACCACCAGCCCTGCCTTTTGGGTAGAGCTTTTAATGTATCAGTTGTGATGATGTTTTTTTGATAGGAATGGAAAAGCTATTGTATAAATTCTGCCTTGTAAATGTTGGTGTGAAGAGTTAAATTTGTGTAACTGGTGTGTGAGGCTTCTGTGCCTTCTGGCCTGATGTTTCTGGCCGCGCACTCTGCCTTCGCTTCTTCCCCAGCTTTGTAGCTGTCCTTTAAAACTGTGGCCTTCTGGGACTCTGATCAGGCCTCACGAGACATTCCATGGTGTATGGGCCTGGTGGCTGCACGTCACTCTGAGCTAGCTGGTGGGTCCAAACTCTCATCAGAGATGCTCTGCAAGGAACTGGTTGTTCTTACGCTACACCAAGACACAAGTCAGAGTTTTTGGTTAAGAACCACCCAAGCTAAAGCACTGACCCTGAGACTTGGTAAAGAAAACAGTTTTATTTTATTGCAATAGTTTATAACTAATAATGGGATTGGAACAGTGTTGAAGGTCAGGCTTCTGTGAGTCACCTGAGCTTGGTATGACCAGTATGCACGCTGCTGCTCTGGTAGCTGCTCCGATGGCAGCACTCTCCTCCCACCCATTCCTAGCACATCCTAACCTAGAGTGTCACGAAGTCGCTGTAACATAGTTACACGTGTCATTAACCTTTCTGTCTCTTTGCACTTGAATACTGTTAAGTTTTAGAAATATTCCCTGTTGGTTGTAAAAGCATTTGTGGAGATATGTAAAATAAATGTTGTATAAATGCTTCTGTTTAAAAAAAAAAGATAACTACAACACATAGCAACCCTGTGAACAACAGATCTGAGCTCTTCCTTGTCCTGTGCCATCTTCTTCATCTCTGCTATAGTTGAGCGCATTGTTACCGTCATTGTATCAGCCCATCTCATTGAAGGTCTTCCCCTTCTTAGCTGACCCTCCACTTTTCCAAGCATGAGGTCTTTTCCCAAGGGC